TGTTTGCTTGCCATTGTGGGCTCCCTGCGTACTTATGACACTTTTATGCGTGGCACATGGCGCTGAAGGTACATTTTTGCCATTTAATCTCACACCAGACCCAGTATGACGGACAGTTTTGTGCCTGATGTGCGAGTCTTGACTGTGCTAGGGCCTACCGCGCCCTGAAGAGCACCCAACGGTGTTTGTCCTTTCTTTGGTTGTTGGTCTTTAGATGCGTGTTTCCATAGCAAATTTTTTACATTCGTTGGGATTCACCTCATTTGACTGGGAGTGTTGTTGGAATGAATTCGAATGAGGAGGTTCTCTCTTTTCTCCCCTATTCTCCTGTTACCACTTCGCATTCGTCGTTTGCAGTCACCTTTTATATTTGTGACCACGTTCTTTATGAATAAATGATACGACTAGCAGTGGTAGACGCACGTTCGCGTACCGGAAATTTTACGTACGTTGGGATTCACCTGTGGCGTTTTGTGCCTTTATTTTACTTCCATCATAACACTACGTATTTCATCATAATCGCATATTCGTTTTTTGTTTAAATACGAAAAACTACAAAAACGCACACTTCTACGATTTCACAGAATACAAGCGTGGTCACGTGCTTCAACTCTCTCCTCTGTTTTCGCTCGCGCTTGTAGCGGTCATTCGCGAGTCTCATGTACTAACTCGGGTACCAAAACATTTCAGACCATCTTCGGAATCTATTATATATGGGGACTGTTCAGAAGAGGACCTCTGGGCCAACACAAGTGGATTATTGTTTATTCGCTGACCTGGGCCAACAACGAACTATTTCAAAGAGAGCAATCGTTAGTCTGTTCCATTTGACCTCTTTATTTTTGTATACCTAACCTAGCGCTATTATTTTTGTTTCTTTGCCACACACTCCTAGTAAACTAACTTATTGGGTAGCCGGAACACCACACACCTCATCTGCTAACCTCCCTGGAGTTTGCTAAACATCCCGGTGTCTGCCAACCTCCCCAGAGTCTGCTGGTCACCTATCTTTCGGATCCTCATCCTCGAAGGCAAGACATACAGTGATGAAATGCTTGTCCTCAAGCTGTCACAGCCTTCTCAACAAACTCGGCCATAGTAAAATGTCAGCTTGCCTTGAACAACCGTCTATAATCGCACCTACAGAGACCTAACTAACACCAGATATCTCTGACGCGGAGATCTCGATAAACGGCTACCCTATTTTTTACGAGCTGACTCAAAACGAGGGACGCCTGTTGAGGCTGCTCTATACTGAAATGCAGCCTTACCAATACCGATTGTCCTCTTCGATACAACTCTCGCACCTTATTGCGATGTTCCGCATATCCAAACCCCGCTGCGCGGGTCAGATTCTCTCCTTTTCGGTGTGGTATACCGTAGCCCCTCCAGTCCCACTGAAGAGGACCGATTCATCATATGAACCATTGAGCGACTCTCCTCAAACTACCACTTCACCCGTAGCCTTTGGTAGGTGACTTTACTAATGTACTCTTTTGTTACCAGCAAAATCACTTGATAAATCAAAAGACAAGAGACTAATAAAGCTTGTGTTTTGAGACCGTGATGCTAAAACATCTAGATGCACCTTAACCAAGTCGAATACAATGCCAAAAATAAAAAGGTTCAAATGGAGGTCATTTCGTTCCGAGTGTAAGTTGTATTCGTTCTTCCGATTTCGTTTGGGTTCATGTAGTCGTTTCTCCTGGCAGATTTACCGTTCCTGGTTGTACGCAGCTTTTGGTGTTTTGAGCCGGCCTGTGTTCTGACGCCTGCGTGATGCGTGCGTGTGTGCGGTTGACCGTGTTCTGTCCTTACATATATGTCGTTGCAAAGCGTGGGACAGTAATGGAACAATAATGTGAAATCATCTGGCGTTCTTTAAAAGGTCATGGAGCGGGAGTTGATATGCCGTATTCATGTCACGATGTTCACGCGTGATTGTGAGACAGGCAAAACTGAATGTGGTAGTAAGCGCCGGTGTGAAATTGATTAGAGGAACAAGTAAGCAGGAGGGTAACCGTTACAAGTACTCTCCCCTTAGAGAGGCATAATATAGACACTATCATCAGTCAAGTTTGAAGACAAGTCACGTTTTGTCTAGCGATGCACGTTGCGGGATGTGGATGCACTGAATAGATTGAACAACCGCTAAAACTGGAACGCTCCTAAGGCTTCCTGGGTGGAGCACCAGCGCGTCGAATTAAGCAAAACCTTGCAGAGGCACTGATTGAAGTCGTTCAACAGAACGCTGGGACTCAAAATGTCGGTGCACCCACCAGATACCGCGCAGGCCAACTACCATCCCTCTTGGATTTGGTCATCACCAACGAAAGACACTTCGTTGATCAGGTAACAATTAACGCTCCACTGGGGCATAGCGACCACTGTGTGCTAACCTTTGATTTCATCTGCTATTGGGCCAGAAATCCCAAACCTCAAACGTGTTTTCGATACTTCTGCCGTGCAGACTTCTCAGGAATGCGCATCTTCCTTGAGCAAGTCACACTGAGACCAGCTCCGGTGGAAGAACTATATAGGACCATTGTCCAGAAAGTCCACGAGGCTGACGCGACATTCGTCCCAAGAAGACCGGCACGCAGTCGGATGAACCGCAAGCTGCCAAAAAGGATTCGGCGACTTCTGGAAAAAAAGATCCCAACTCTTTTTCAAAAAGCTGACCACAGGGGACACAGAAGATGAGCTGGCATTTCGTAAAATGCGGAATCGCTGTAAGTCGGAAATCCGCCAATGGAACATACGAAAACAAGCCACCATTCTGGACCTCGCTCGATAAAACAAAAACGTACTGTTCAGTACATGAGACATCACCGCAGAAACAAGCCATCCGCATTCTCCTCGAGGGACAGGAACGGAGAACCAACGAATGACCCAACAGTGGTATCTGAGGCTTACAGAGAACAATATTCAGGCCTATCTTCCGCCATAGCGTTTTTGTCACATCCAATCTTGTCAAGTAGGAACAACGAACAGCCTCTAACCGATTTGGTCTCCACGGTGGAGGACATTCGTCAACTCTTTCAAAAGATCAACCCATTCTGCGCGTTCGGGCCCGACGCGGTACATCCAAGGATCCTGAAAGAAACCACCTCTGCACTGACAAATCATCTGGTGTTTCAGCAACCACTTGACCATAGTCGCCTTCCCTGTGCTTGGTATGGAGCGATTTTCACGCCAATCTACAAAA